GGCCGCGGGGTAGGTACCGAGCGGGTTTGAGAGGCGGCGGAGGGGCCCCGGCCGCCCCCGCACTCCCCGCCCAAGTTTGCGCCCAGGGCGGGAGCGGCACCTCCAAGCACCTGCCGCGGCCGGCCTTGCCTGGAGCTGGGAGAGCCCCTTGGGGACGGGGACGGGGGTGGTCGGAGGTGGATCTGGGGGCTTCGGAGCCGCGTCCTGCCCTCGGGCGCGGAGAGGGCTGCCCGCTGCCGGCTGCCAGCGCTCGTCCCCGGGAGAGGAGACGCGCCTTCCCCCGCGTAGCCCCGGCCCGGCCCGAGCGGCGCGTCCTCCGGGCCCGGGCCCGCGCACCTGCCGGGCGGGCGGGGCGGACTTGCGCTTGGACCGCCCAGGGCTGTGCCGCCGGGTCCCGCCGGAGGACGCGGAAAAGTTCCGTGCCGCCCCGTCACTGCAAGTACTTGCTTCCTTTAATTGTCTTGGTGACAGGACTCTGTGGCTTACTCTCTTCATACCACCCGAGGTCGGGACCGTGCGTTTCCTCTTTCAGAAGACTTTCTCTTAACTCTGGAGCTTCCTGGCAAACCTGTGGAAAAGGCAGGGCCGTTAGTCCCGATGTATAGAGGAGAAGCCGAGACCCAGGCATGGATATTAAATGCCTTACTGAAAGGTCATACAGGGCTAAGGACCAGAACCCAGACCCCCTTGGCTGTTATTTATGCTCCTTTTGTGTTACACCCTCGGCACAACTTTCCTGAGCGGGTAGGATATCACGCAGAACCTACTCCGTGCACATTCTTAATGGAGATGTGTCCATGGAATGATGCCTTTTGCCTCTGTGGTTGCTTTGTATCTGTGAGTTAACAGCTAAGATAGGAGAAAAGTTCCTGTTTATAGGATTAACTTAGGAAATCAGTACCTTCTTTCATGCTGTGTTTTCTCGGAGAACACATTTGTTTGTAAGAAACCTTTTAAACTTTATTTTTTCTTTAGCAACCCCATGTAGCAGCCAACAATGCTAAACATTTTTGGGAAAAAAAAATAATGACGTTTAGCTTTTACTGTGTGCTAGCTTTATGTATATGGTCGCATTTAATCCTCACCACTCTAGGGAGCTGGCACTTTTATGTTTATTTTATAGTTTAGAAAAAAACATTTAGAGGATAAGTAACGTAGCCCAGGTTATACATTTACTAAACATGATTGGTTTCTATCAAAGATTGTATAGTTTAATAGAGGACATAAAGAGGGGTGCCTGGGTGGCTCAGTTGGTTAAGCGACTGCCTTCGGCTCAGGTCATGATCCTGGAGTCCCGGGATCGAGTCCCGCATCGGGCTCCCTGCTCAGCAGGGAGTCTGCTTCTCCCTCTGACCCTCCCCCCTCTCATGTGCTCTCTCTCATTCTCTCTCTCTGAAATAAATAAATAAAATCTTTAAAAAAAAAAATAGAGGACATAAAGAATGAATGTAACTATAAATCAAAAGGAAAGTGTAACAAAAGAGAAGTAAGGATTAAACCTGAGAAGAGAATATACTGAGGATAACTTTGGAGAAGGGTTTCCAAAGGATATAGGTAGGATTTCGACAGAAGGGCTTGTTGGACAGAGGGTATATAGACCCTGCAGAATGGACTGTGAGAGCGTGATCCTTTCAGTTTGCATAAAGAAAAGTGTTGAAGGGTATGCTAAGGTCAGCCTGTGCAAGGTCTTATATGGAAAGCTAAGGAATTTAAATGTCTTTCTGTTTGTAAGAGGACCCAAATGTGATAGAATAAAATAAAGCTGGTAGAATGTAAGATGGACTGCAGGTGGAGAGGTAATATTCAAGTAGGGTGGCTGTGGATGAAATGAAAAAGAACATCAACTTGATTTCACTGACTGGATGTGGGGTACAAAATGGAAATAGGAAGCATATTGGTAGAGGGGCGCCTGGGTGGCTCAGTCGTTGAGCGTCTGCCTTAGGCTCAGGTCATGATCCCAGGGTCCTGGGCTCCCTGCTTGGCGGGAAGCCTGCTTCTCCCTCTCGCACTCCCCCTGCTTGTGTTCCCTCTCTCGCTGTGTGTCTCTCTGTCAAATAAATATTAAAAAAAAAAAAAAAAAAGGAAGCGCATTGGTAGAGAAACTTGTATTGGCAAGAACTCCTAATAGAGCAGTTGAGCAGATAGCTAAAATGCATTACTGAAGAGGTAAAGATATCAAAACTGGAATTAATCGCTTTGGGTGTCATTTGTATAGAGGTGATAGTTAAGGCTCCAGGATTGGATGAATTTGGCATTATCCTGAATTAAATCATAGCAGGTTTACAAATTAATGTGACAGTAAGAGACATGTTCTATTCACCCGTTTGCCCAATTTGGAGCATGTAATGCTGCTAATATGTTATTAATACACTATGAGGAATTTGACACCTTTTTCTCTTATCTTTTTAAAATACTGTGGAAACAGATATGGGAAAGCAGAACCACCAAAAGGAGTGATGACCAGCGATCTCATGATAAATCTGGATGTTAGTTCTCATGCCTCAGGACATCCAGTTGGGAACTCCACACCAGCTCCTGGGATCAGACTTCATCCACTTACTACCCCTCTTTGCCTGAACTACTAAAGCCAGTCCTAGCTAACCACGAATGGCTACCCAAAGGAAACACTTGGTGAAAGATTTCAATCCTTATATCACCTGCTACATCTGTAAAGGGTACCTGATCAAGCCAACTACAGTGACGGAATGCCTCCATACCTGTAAGTATTGTTTAAGTCCTTTACCCATCAGAAGTTATGGGTTACACTAGTTCTTTTAATACTACCACATTTTGTTTTTATATCTAGATTTTCACTTTCAAAACGAGTATTCCAAGAATCATCCTAACTCTGAATTAATTTTCAGGATTGAATTTGTCATTGGGATACCGGTGGCATGAAATTTTTCTTGTATTATTATATAATAGTTGACATTTATCTAATTTTAATGTTCTAAAAATCACAAACATGTTATTGTTTATAGTTTTTAAAAAGTGAACTATTTTAGGTTTTTTATTTTAAAAAATTATATTGAAGGAATTGATCTGCTCACAGGTTTTGTTTGGGTATGCATACTTTAATTCATTGGCTTTTTTAGATCCTTTATTGAGGTATGGTTGACATACAAAAAAACTGTACATATTCAATGTATACAACTTGATGAGTTTAGGGATAAGTATAGACCCATGAAACCAACACCACATCTATGCCATAAAGCTATCCATTACCCCCAAAAGTTTTCTCCCTTGCTCTTATTATTATTATTTTTGTGACACAAACACTTAAATTCTACCCTCTTAGTAAATTTTAAGCATACAACACAGTAATATTACCTATAGGCTATTCTGTGCAGTAGATCTCTAGGACTTAATCATCTGTTTAACTGAAATTTTGTACCCTTTGACTAAAAAACCTGCAGCCTCTGTGTCACCTGGGAACTTGTTAGAAATGCACATTATCAGGCCCCACTTCAGAATTACTGAATCAGAAACTCTGGGAGTGGGCCCAGCAGTCCGTGTTCAGTAAGCCTTCTAGGTGATTCTGAAGCATGATCAAGTTTGAAAATCTCTGTTCTAATATGATCATATCTGTGGAACTCATATCAGGTTTCTTTCTCACCTGGCCTATCAGTAGAAGAAGGTTTGGTGGATCAATGGTGGTGAGGTTCATGCATGTGTAAATCTTTCCAAGTTATGGTGATATATGTTACCTTTGGGTATTACTGGCTTATGCTATTCAGTTAGCAAATAACTATGAACTATCTTGAAATATTAATTTACTGTTGCCCTGTATCATTATTTAACTTGAACGTTTGCCAGTTAAATTATCATCGAACAAATATTTATTGAATACCTACTGTGTGCCAGGCACCATCCATTCCAGACAGAAAGGATACAGCAGTGAACAAGATAGTCAAAAATCTATGCTCTTGAGAAGTTTAACATTCTAGTGGGTGAAACTGATAATAAACATGTGCCATGTTAGATAGTGATAAATGCTATGAAGGGAACAAAGAAGGGTTGTAGATAGGATGTTATTTTACATAGAGTGTCAGGGTTGACCTCTTTGATGACATTTGGACACAAACCTGAAGGAACTGAGCTCTGTGGCTATATATATGGGAAGAGCATTCTAGACAGAGGGAAAAGCAAGTATAAGGCCTTGAGGCAGGAATGTCCTTGGAAGGTTTATGCAACAGCGGTCACTGCAGGTCAGCTGAAAGATTATAGAGTCTTCAACCAGAGTAACGAGGTGTGAGATTGGAGCCTGGGAAGAGTGATTGGATTGTGGATGTATTTTGGAGGAAGGGCCAATGGATGTGGCTACTCTAGGGCAAGGCCTTTCTGTTATACTCCATGTTTCTTGCTATACTATCCATGGTACCTGGAAATGGTCCACAGTCTGTTTTGTTTTGCTCCTTCTAACACTTGTGCATTATTTTCATGTTTGGATTTCTCCAGCAAAAACTGTCAACTCTGGAAGATGAGAAGAAGGCCCAGATTCTCCAGTTTCTGCCTTTCTAATGCAGATTTTATATCTGTTTTTCTGAAAGAAAATTTTCTCTCGGGCATAATGAAATCTCAATTTAAATGCCCCTTTTTTGGAGGAAAACAAAAGATTCCAGAAGTACAAACAGGTTATAAGCAAGGGCTATGTTTATGTTTGCAATAGCAGTTTAAAGTCTAAAGGGGTAAGTGACAGTTTAACCACACAAGTCATCTTAGCCTGAAAAACTCCTTGGCTGTCATCAAGCCCCTTTACTGGGAGAGAATGTACATGGCCAAAGTGGAATTAAAAGACAGTGGTGAGTCATAAATGTGACCTTTATCATCAGCAGGAGTACAGAATAGTAGAGTAAATGATGGAGTCGGGTAGTCAACCTCGTGTCTGTGGAGACCTGAGGATCCTGTAGTACTCATCTTTGTGCACTTTCTGGTCCCTGGATTTCTGGTTATTATTTTGTTTGTATTTATATTAAGGCTTGTAGGCAAAAACTATCCCATTTGCAAAGTATCCTCCTATTTGTAATGATAAAATAAACAGTACTGTGAAACGATGTTCCTCAGTCATTGGTTGGGTCTTTGATCTTACCCAGTTTTATGTATAATGTGGGTCAAATATAATGATACTGTGATTTGAGATAGTACGAAATAGAAAAGTCAGATGGCCAAATGGGACAGGAGAAAAGTGAGAAATGTTAAGTGACAGTGTAGTACACCATAATATTTTTTGTCTTGATTTAGCCAAATAAAAAGAATATCTTATTAAAATAACTTTGTACAAATACTATGAATTTGTGAGTTTTTACTGTAAGTAAAGAATGAGTAAAACATAGTTTTTATTATGAAATTCATAATAAAATATAAAGATTTTAGTCTTACTGTTCAAATCTGAAATACATAAGTGGAGCTTTATTATTGGTGAGCAAAACCAGACATGGAGTCTGCCCTTCTGGACTTTCTGGTCAAATGAAGAAAGACAGAGTAATCAAGTTAAGAAATATATGAAATAACTGTGGATGCTGGTAAGTGTGATGAAACTAATAAACAGAATGATATAATAGCAGGTATGGGTCAGGATATTGCAGCAGAATGGCATGCAAGAGAAAAAACTAGAGTGCTTTTTAAAATTTCTAAAGCCATAGGCCTTGGCCTTCCTGACAAGGACATGAGTATGCTTGGGCCTGGCTGCGGTAGAGGTGCAGTGGGGTGGGAGGTAGGGATCATGAGTGGTTCTCCTTGCTTTGATAGGGATAAATGAAGTTACTTGACTCTTCCTTCAAAATACCCTGCAAATGCGTTTAATCTCTTCCTCTCTCCTCCTCAAATCAGATAGGTTGATGCTCTCTCATTCTCCCATTGAGAAATTCTGGAGCTAACGTTGCCTGGCTGGCTTCCCTATCGATGTACAAAAAAGGGCCAACAGGACCAGCAGGATGACTGACTATAGTAGCCCTTGATGTTGTTAACACTAGAGCTGTGTGGAAGAAAGAGAAAGCCACTTAGAAGGATGGGAGAGGTAGAGATGGCAGGGCAGACTGCGTCCCAGGCTCCTGGCAAGGAGTTGCAAAAAAACAAAAAACAGAAAAACAAAATAAACGCTTATAAAAGCCCCATCTTTAAGTAGACTCATACCTCACCTGTTAACACCATTTCTCTTCAGCAGGCCAGGGACACTTGATAAAAAAATAAAATTTTAAAATGAGGTAAAAATTAAAACAGAAATGAGTTTTAGCTTTAAATGGTCACTTCATGCTAGATGAATTAAATCCACATTAACCATGGTTATAGGTCTGTGAGATAATTTTAACCCAAACCAGAAAACCTAAGGAAATAAACATGTCTACCCAAATAATAATTGAATTACTTAAAATCATTAGTTGTCAGGTACTTTGCTAGCCACTGGGGTAGAGTGGTAAAAAAGACAAATTTGGAACTTAAACTCTATCAAGAAAAACTTCTCATAAGCCAAGAAGAAATTTCTACATGTGTATTTGGATCTTTTTTTTTTCTGTGTGAGCTCATCTACTCTGGGACTTCAGCTGCATGTGCTGATGTCTCCCAAATCTTTATTTCTGGCATAGACCTTCCTCCTGAGTTTCAGAATCCTATTGGATGGGCACTTGGATGTCCTAAAGCCACCTGGGGCTCAGCATGTCTAAAAATGAATGAATGGGATGCCAACACTCAGTTATCCCAAACACTTGACTCCTTTTATCCTCCCTAACAAAATGGGGACCAAGTCCTGTCTGGTCTCTCTGTTTAATATCTCTCAAATCTGTGCCTTCACTTCCACCCCCCTTGTTACTGTTCTGTCAGGCCCTCATTACTTCTCACCAGTCACTGCAGCCCACTTCACACCTGTGTCAAGGTGTGATCATTTAAAACAGCTACTGTCTTCATCACTCACTTTTCAGCCACCCCAGAATTTCCTAAAGATATCCTAGTGCCCTCAGGAGAAATTAAAGCTACTTAGCTATGCCTACCACTTTCTCCCTTACCACCTACTGCACACATATACATACTTGGTTCAGCTGTGTGTTCTGCTTAGAATGCACTTTTCCTGTATGCCCAGCTAGCCATTACCCATCCTTTAAAACTCATCTCCTCCAAGATATGCCACCTACCTGTTACCACAGGCAAATTTGGGTTACATGTATCCTTGGTACCTGGTACTTGAGTGCTTAATAAATGATTAAATGAATAAATAAATGGCCAGTTTGTTGATTATTTTACTGTTTTTCCTTTTAAAGATTCACATGCAGTAATAGGTAGCTTGAAAGGCATGTAGGCAATGTCAATTAGGAATTATGTCTTTTGAAAAACTGTCCTCTACAACATAGGTGGAAGCCATGTAGGTCTTACGGAGAGATGCTGGATTGGAGACCAGAGATTGGCAGTTCTAGATTAAAGGATGCTCTGTCTCTTGCACCAGGATCCTCAGAAACTTTCTGAGGTTGCTTAGAGTATGTTTGCTTGTGGTTGTATAGGTTGGTGACTTAAAATGAAGGACTTTTCACTTAACCTAAAAACAAAGGAGCTTTGTTCCAGCAGCTAAAATGTGAAGAATACAGTGCATTGGTTCTTAACTCTTTTGTGGTTAGAGGCCTCTTTAAGAATTTGATGACTCTTTCCTCAGGGAAAAAAAAAAGGGTTCTAGACATAGAAATCTGTGGTACAGGAAAGGAAGGCTTTCTTCTTTGTGCCCTTTCAGAGATTGTGGCAGTAATCCCTTCACTAAGAACGAATTCTTTGGGAAAACGTTGTTGTACTTAGTTTTTAACTTATGCAAAGAAGACAGATTAATTGATAATTAAGTATAGTTGAT